AGAAGAGGAAGTGGTTTAGGTTCCCCAACATTGGACACTAACACATTGAACAAGACCTTCCATTTCTTTGGTGAAGACCTTGGTGCTTGTGTGGTACCGAGAGGACCTCCAAAATAGGGCAGCTTGGGAGATTCCTGGATCGGAAAGGGAGGGTGAGAAGAAGAATGAGAGTTTGAAGAAGAAGACCCATATGAGATGTTGAAGCATTAGGAATGAGAAAAATTGTAAAAGATAACACGATATAAGCATGGATATCTCGACCGGTATGTTTATATTTTCCTGGAACATCTCTCTCTTATTCTTGAAGGATTTACTTTTTCTTCCCCCCACCCCCCCACCCCCCTTTTATTCCAATTGAAATTTTGGTTGCATACAGTTGGTGAGGCAGGGATGGAAGGAAGGTGGGAAATTAAAACAATAATAACAATGAAATATTATGGGCTATATTTACTTGATATTTTGATGAAAAAATTTCAAATTTCTTTTAAACGATGGATAGGTTCAAGTTCAGCTAAGAGTTGAGAAAGAGAGAACGAGAGCCGAGAGGGAGGAAGTTGCTTCGGCCTCCAACCTCTGGTTACAACTTACAACTCGAAAGTTCAATGGGTGAAGAGTGTAGAGATTGAATTTTTGTTGTAACCAAATGATGGCGGTTTAGTTGGTAGACTAGCCATCGGGGTACTATAAAGCTCTCTGGTTGTTTGTAGAGGAGACGTGAGATCAAATCCCAATGCCATCGGGGTTAGGGAGGATTATGGGTTTGGGGACGGGTACCCCTATTGGATACAGTATTGAATAGCAGAGGTGGAGACGATGGAGCAGAACTGACGGCCATTAAATCATGGATTGGAGGGATTTTTTTCAGAGGGTGTGCTAGCTCCGACAAGTCAAGGGAGGGCTTTGAACACCAAGTGCTACTTAAGATGCTCCGACAAGTAAAGGGTATAGAAAAGCTTTCAGGTTCTTCTCCTCCTTGAGTTTAGGGATGATGGGAGATTGAAAGAGGATAAAGAAGTCAAAGGGAGGTTTTTGTTGAGTTTCAAATAGGGTTATTTTTGTAAAATTGTATATAAAATCATTTACAAAAGGGTATAATGGGTATTTGAAAAAAAACTGATGTATCAATCTAATGTTTTTCATTTGGGTCAGTGATGGAAGGGAGGTTTTTGTTGAGTTTTTAAAAAATTAAGGGGATGTATTTGTTAAAATGAAACTAAAGGGGATGTTTTTATGATTGTCTAAAACTTTTGGGGAGGTTTTGTATTTTACCCATAAGAATTTTGGGAGAATGACTTTTCAACACACCCTAAGAATTCTTAGCCCCACAATACAGTTGGGCTGTTGGGGGTAGGTGCGATACCAATATATGGGCGGGTATTAGTGTTTTAGGGTGGTGGTGTTTGTCATTTTGAATTGCGTAGGGTTACAATGGAATTCAGAATTTTAAAGTATGATGCATAGTGTACTTTTCTGAAGATTTTTCTATGAATAGAATGGCGAATGTTTCAACTGTCCTTAGAGCCTTTGCAACAGTGCGTAGGGAACATCTCCATACTTGTATGATTTATTTACGGGGAGATATTCTCAATGCACAACTATAAGTGTTGTGAGGACGATGTGAGATAAAATCTGAATTCTTTCAGAATACCGGCGCGCCTACTTTTAATTGGTTACATAGCCCATTGCATGTTTATAGCTTTTCATGCGTGCGTTGAAGACGTGCTCACTCCTAATTTGTTATATAGTGGATATTGTTTCTGCACGAGGGAATTTGGATCTACTCCTAACAGAGTGTCACGGGGGTAGTTCTGTAGCGGAAGAAACTCGTGCGGCGTCCAAGCTAAGGTAGGCCAGGACAAGCCTTATGTGTGCTTAGGACTAGGAGTTTCCCAATGAGATGGCTCCACCAAGTTCAGTAGCACTGGATCATGCCCTCAGTTTGCATGGTCGGGGCTCTCTGTTGGCTCTAGCCGATCCATGGGAGGCGCCACTTACGTGCTAAAGGGGGATGACCATGATGTAAGGCAATTGGGCGCCGATGTGAAGGGACTCCTGTATGTCGATGATGATGGGCACCTGTGTGCCATGTTGATAGGCAACCACTAGGCCAGAACACACCCGTGCTATGGGCAATGGGATAGCTCATTAAGCTTAGGCAAGGGGCTGGCGTGGTGAAGGGTCATGCTTAATAGAGGCCCACATGCCAAGCCTCCCTCGAGTGTCGATGGCGCAGTGCCGGTCCATGCACTGTCCCCATGAGCATGTGGGCGCCCATGAGGAACCCTGGTAGCCATTGCTAGCCATTAACCAGGGCTGTCCCGCAAGGGATGTTGGTCTAGGAGTGCCAAGGTTAGGCACCCAAGGAGGTCGGTCACCCCTCCTCAATGAATACGCTAAGCTTTTGGAGGTCTGCCTGAAGATAACATCACTTTTCCCAAAAATCTTACAGGCGCAAAATGACAATGGTGTCCCTTAACGTAAGCCCGCCAAGCGTAGGCAAGGCTAAGCCTGTGTCAGACCGTGACAGGCTCCCCCATTCAATCCATTGTCGTCCTCGACAATGGCACATTCTGTGAATGGGCATCTATGTCCCGCACCATCCACTTTGTGTGCCAGTTCCTGGCTCGCCTGGCCAACCTGGGTCTCGTCTATGATGGTGTTCATTTATGGGGACGGAACCATTTCACCATGTCGACTTGTCTAGACTTCACCCCCTGTGTTGAGGTTACTCAAACCGCGCGATGGCTATGCCGTTGAAAGTGTGTGAGAAGGGCCCTCGAAGAAATTGGATGTGTGTGCTTCATGGAAGTCCGCCCTATGTATCATCTTTACCTCAAGGCTTGACCGTCTTCTTAGTAGCTTTTTGGTGGTGCTACCGAACACGATGTGATAGGTCTACTCCTACTATTGGCGATGTGTCCTGGGTACCCTTTCACCATGCTAGCCTGCAGACTTCACCTCGCCGTGTGCGGGTTACTCAAACCTAGTCCACGGCTTATGCTCTCTTGGCCCTCGAAACTACACTTCAACTCGCCGGTTCGGGCTATATCTTCGCTTCGAGGGGGCCTCAATGTGTTACTGCCTCAAGGAGATTTGACCGCAATGTGCGCGAGTGTGGCAACTTTTACCCATGATGTTGTCGAACATGCACTCGCCTTGTGATGTGTTGTTGCTGCTGCAAGTGTTCCACTTGTGTTGAGCTGAGCATGTCCTCCAGTTCAATGCCAGTGCTGGGCCGCCATGCTCCAATGGCCAGTGTACCCACATTCCTAACATTACAATATTGTGGCTTCAACCGAGGACACATTTGTGCTGAACTGCCACTTCAGTGATATTCCTTGACCAACCGTCGACACAAACCAATTCGGACTGTTGTCCCTGCTTCAATAGTGCCTCTGACAAGCTATGAAATAATGGTCCATCCGTCATGAAACCGAGATGTAGGCGCACCGCCCACAACTCACTAAAATAAACAATAACTGATGTCCATGAGGAAGCATGGCACTCCCCCACTCAAACCACCACAATATGCCTTCCATGAAAAGGCCCATGCGTCTGCCTTCGCATGAGCACAACGCTCAATGCGTCTACCCCCACAAGGGTGCTGTTTTGGGGTCATTGGAATGGGGACACGATGAATGGCCTCTTGCCAGGCCTAATGTGAATGCTTGCTTGAACCCGAGTAGAAGTGCCTAGGGACTACACCCCATGATGTGCTGCTTGTCGAGATGACCGCTTCAACTAGCTCTGTGTTCTTTCGCTCCGATACCAACTGTCACGGGGGTAGTTTTGTAGTGGAAGAACCCGTGCGGTGTCTAGGTCAGGGTAAGCCTTATGTGTGCTTAGGGCTAGGAGTTGCCCGATGAGATGGCTCCACCAAGTTCAGTAGCATTGGATCATGATCTCAGTTCGCATGGTCGGGGCTCTCTGCTGGCTCTGGCTGGTCCATGGGAGGCACCACTTACGTGCTAAAGGGGGACGACCATGATGTGAGGCGACTGGGCGCCAATGTGAAGGGACTCCTGTATGCCGATGATGATGGGCACCTATGTGCCATGTTGATAGGCAACCGCTGGGCTGGAACACACTCGTGCGTTATGGGCAACGAGATAGCTCATTAAGCTTAGGCAAGGCACTGACATGGTGAAGGGTCATGCTTAAGCCAAGCTCGCATTCCAAACCTCCCTTAAGTGTCGATGGCGCAGTACTGGTCCATGCACTGTCCCCATGAGCATGTTTGCACCCATGAGGAACCCTGATAGTCATGCTAGCCATTAACCAGGGGCACCTTGCAAGGAATATTAGTCTAAGAATGCCAATGTTAGACACCCAAGGAGGTCGACCACCCCTCTTTTTCGTGTGAGGTCGATGTAAGGTGCCATGTATGAGGAGCAGGTCAAGGAGGAGGAATCAATAATCATGTGATAGGAAAGGAAAATGTGTTCATGTCGTACGTCGTACCGTAGTAGATGATAATATGCGTTAAAGCGACGATTAGGATCGTCTGGTGGAGACTTATCAATACTATGATGTGGGACATGCGGAATGATCACTAACATTCCGTTGAACATGGGCGACGTGGCTTTATTATCCACCGCCAAAAGGAGCCTTTAACATTGACAATTTACAACTTAAAGCGACGATTAGGATCGTCCGGTGGAGACTTATCAATACTATGATGTGGAACATGCGGAATAATCACTAACATTCCGTTGAACATGGGCGACGTGGCTTTATTATCCACCGCTAAAAGGAGCCTTTAACATTGATAATTTATAAATTTTTTTCAGGGCGCCTCACAACGATTTTACTGGTATATCTCACCGTGCATAATAAATATTTTCCGTAAATAATAATACATAAGTACGGAAGATGTTTTCAATAGACGGATGTGTCTGTGAGATCGATGTGAGGCGCCATGTGTGACATCAATTTTTTTTTTTTTGGTTTTTTTTGACAAGAATAAGAACATGGGTTGGTTATAAACTATAAAGAGTAGGTGATTATTGAAAGGAAATTTTGTTAGGTGGACCGTGAACCTTCTCTCAATCACGGTGGTGGGAGAGAAGATACGGAGAGAACAGGGATTTCATGGCGGCTTCGAAGCTTCAAGCTCTCTGGAACCACCCGGCCGGCCCCAAAACCAGTCTGTTGACTTCTCTTTAATTCTCCCTCAATGTTAATCTACTGTTTTTTTTTTTTTTTGTTATATTCTCCGACAATTTTTTTCATTTTACCTTTTATTTTGGGTGAGTATCTTTTAGTTTTGGTTACAGATCAATTGCTTTAAACTCTACTAGCCACTACAGTCTTTTGCTGATTTATCTTGTCCTATCGATCGAGAGGTCGATCTCTAATATGCTTTTTTGACTCATAGTTAAGGGTTTTTCACTTGTTCCTTGCTCGAGTTAATTGAACGAATGCGAAGGGAAGAGGGTGTCGGTAATATAAATCAACGATTCCGCTCAAAGATGCAAGCTTTTTTATAGAAACTTTTCGAAAAAAAATTATCGAATTTATGGAACTGGATGATGATTAGCCCATAGTATTGACATGGCCAAAAATATAATAGTAATGCTACAAAAGTCGTACTCCTGTATTCAGTATCTCCAGTGGTAAAAACCAGGTACATTCAATTTTAGGTAATTATAAACTTGAATCTTTAAATCCTAAGATGAAATGCTGGAAACTCCACTCATGATAGATTGATAGAAGATATTTTGCAAGAATTTCCTTCTTGAATAGATAACACCATTCAGGTTTGGTAAAAATCAAGGTTCACTGTCAAGCTGTATAACATACTGGAACCTTTTAATCTAGATCAAAGATTTAGGTTTTGCCAAAATCTCAACATTCCTATCTTATGACTGTTTCAAAAAGTTTGGAATTTTGATTGGGTCTTGAAATTTTGCAAAATTTTGATAAAAAATTGTCTTGAATTTAATTTCTTGGTCTATTTGTGAAGGAAGTAAATTATACCACTTCATTCCTGTCATATCTTTGTGAAGAAGCTATATGTCAGGGAATCTGAAAATCTGGAAGAGGTTTATAGGGGGGTTGAGCTGGTTAAGAAGGAATGTCCGGTAACAAAGGAAGGCTGAAGGCTAGGGTGGACTTTGATCAATCAAATGGAAATAGAGGCTTGTTGTTTGGTTGGAAAGAAATTCCAAAATCTCTGAAGGTAGGGGAAACTTGCAGAATTCAGTCTCTATGGGGTAGAACATACTTGTGGGTAGCAGTGAATAGATGTTTTGGGGACACCCCCTTGTAGTTCTTTTTTTTTTTTTTCATTTCTGATATACTTTTTTGTAATTACCAAACTTTTGGTATTGAGGTGCACAGCTTTCTGTAGCAGGTTTAGTGGGTTGTAATTTTTTGTTTTTCAATACACTACTTTTCTTAAAGGAAACTGTTGTATACTAGTTATAAGTTGGATATTTAGCATTTAATTGTTAATACAAAGACATCACACTACATACTAGCGCACCAGGTGGATATGGTGGTCTCTGTAGGTAATTTTGGATGTCTCATAAGTTATGACAAAGCTGTGGGTCTAAACGTTGTTGACTTGAATCCAAAAAAGAAGGTTCATATTTCTTATCTTTTGTTTAATGGATAAATTGAGAAGATAATTGACAAAAATTATAATAATTATAACAGAGAAATATAACTCTAGATGCTATGAAACCTTTCAAAAAAAAATGCGGTGGTATTGAAGTTTTCTTTTAGGTCATATTTATTTTTCACATCTGGTGATTTCATGGAGACACATCTGAGCAAAAACTGAATCTTGACAATGTATAATTGGGACCACTATATTGCTTTCCAAAATAGCTAACAAAATATCGTTTGGTTTCCCAACATTTATGGTAACCACCTCCATGAGGCCACCAAAGATGAATCTTGGTAAAAGCCTAGAAACATAGAGAGGTTTCATTGAATGGTCCAAATCTCAGGAATTCATTCTGTGTTTTATATTTAGTATATTTAGATATTATTTTTGCTTGTTATCTCTTCCTGTCTGTATGCATGAGATTACACTTTTCCTAACTGCAGTTCACTTCTGGGCTCCAACCTTTAAATGGGGTATCAGCATAGCAAATGTTGCCGACTTTTCTAAACCACCAGAAAAGCTTTCTTACCCTCAGCAAATTGGTATGTGCCATTCAATGTTTCTTCAATGAGTGGGTCAGGTCCTTCTCACAAAAATTTTGTTTTCTGTTATCTAAGCGCCTTGGTTTAATGAGAAACTAATGGCAAATCTCTTCGTTATGGTTTCCAGCGGTTACATGTACTGGACTTATCTGGTCACGCTACAGCACAGTAATTACACCAGTAAGTATGACTAGTGCTATTCAGATATTTTTAACAAAGTATTTGCAATATTCTTGTTTCCATACTCCCATCCCATAATTCCGGATCCTACTCTTATTAATTGTTCATTTGTTCTCCTGAGAAATATTGTAAAACAAGCTTATATTGTATATCACTTGTAATGTTTTGTGCTCTTTTCTTTTAGAAGAAAACTTGACTAGTTAAGAAACATTTTCTGCTTCATGACATAGGCAAATTTGGTATAATTCATTGACCTGCACTAGGAAATCTGATTATCATAATTTTATGTTTCCAAGAACAATCTTCTAGATTCAGATAACTCTTTCCAACATTTTCTTGATGTAACTATTGATTGACTCCCAGCCAAGTATGTGCTAATGTAGAGATATGTTCAACTGCTTGAATATGTTCAAATGTTTGCTTTCTGACTAAAGAACTCATAATTCATAAATTTTCTTGGTACTCCTCCCCTCTTTGAGTAAGATTTATGATGTAGGATATCTCAATTTAAAGATTCCGTGGGCAATCATTTTTTTTATCAATAACAAGTAACTTTATTAAAATTTAAGAAAAGAAAAGGGGGGGGGGGTAAACTGTCTTAACTCCCCCACAAGCAAATTACAAAAGAAAAGAAAATTAGAAATGAGCCCAAAACAAAGAATCCCTGTTCACCTCTTGCTTGGCTACGTCAGCAAGTGAGTTAGCAGTCCTCTTCACCCAGCTGTATTTCATCTCAATGTCCCTAGCCTGCCATTAAATCATTAAATTACATATTTAGCAGTCCTTTCTTTGATGTAGTTTTTTTTATAGATAAAATATCATATTTCCATTTAATCAGAAAGAAATTACATAATCAGACCCCTGGGAAGGTGCGAGATGCCACCTCCTAAACATAAAAATGTACCAATGTTGTCTTCCTTTAGCCATCTCACCACCACCTCTGAGTCACCTTTGAGTACCAGCCTTCTGATGTTCAAATCTCTTGCTCTTTGGATTCCTTCCAAAGCTGCAAAGATCTCAGCCCTGAGAGAGTCACCTTCTCCAATTGGGACTGAGTACATGGCTAAGATATTCCCTTCCTCATTCCTGAAAACTCCCCCAATACCAGACAGCCTGGATTCCTTATGCTACTGCCATCAAAATTCAGTTTTATGAATCCAGAGGTGGGGGGTGGGGGGGAGAGGTCTTGGAACCCTCTTAAACTGGGCAGAATTAGCTATCCCTTTTCCAATTTCTCAGCAAGTCATCCAGCCAATCATTTGCTAATGTAGAGATATATATAACCGCTTGAATATGTTTGAGTGTTTGATTTCTGATTAAAATTCATAAATTTTCTAAATACTTCTCCCCCCTGAGTAAGATTTATGATGTAGGATATCTCAATTTAAAGATTCCGGGGGCAACAGTTAGGGCTGTAGTAGGGTGAGATCTGAAAGGCTTTGATGATTAGAATGGACAACTAAGGAAAGGCTGGCTATGGGTTAGGTTGAAGTCAGAATTAAAGGTTAGAATCAGGCCTAGCATTGCCATTACATATGAGAGAGTAGGATAGAATAGAGTAAAAGTTGGGTAGCATGATTATTGTTTCATATGAGAAATTACAAGCTCAAAATGAGGATTCTTACCACTTACTGATATCTTGTTCCTTTGCTACAGCTATTTGGAATTGGATTTTTGTTTTGTTTGGGTGTAGGTGGAACCTGCCATCTGAAGTAAATATGTTTAACCCATCTGGGTGGCCCACAAAAAGAGGGAGAATTATGTGGAGATGTATCAGAACAACTGTTTTGTGGACTATTTGGGAAGAAAGGAATGCCAATTTTTTTCAAGAGAAGGAAAGGAGCCTTTCTTAAATCAAGAAATGAATTCTGACAAAGGCAATTCATTGGTTGAAAACTTTAAAGATCTTTGATGTTTATTCATTTATTATCTTTGGAGGAGCTGGTTAGCAGTGGCTAATACTTCTTCTAAGAAGAATAGAATTAAACCAGCGTGGGCACCTCCTTAGGAATGTTTTGTTAAGCTGAATTTTGATGAGAGTAGTCAGGGAGATAAGGATATCAACATCTTATCCTTGTTTGCAGGACCAGTGGAAATAAGAGATTCTACAAGGGCTGAGTTACTAGCTGCTGTGCAAGGGAACCAGCTTGCGAACCAGCTTGGGGTGGATAATTCACTAATTGAAGGTAATTCTAAGGTGGCTATTGCCTATTGGACCCGAATTTTGTCATTTGGTGCTACAGGGACCTTCTCAAAAAGGTTAATGGCTGACTAGAAGTATGACAGAATTCAATTGGTAGGCAGAACGGCAAGTACTTTGGCTGATTCATTTGCTAAACAAGGGGCTTCTCAGGAGTCCTTATATTGGGCTGCCTTGTAATTTGTACTTTGATTAGCTTTGAGAATCTGTGGTCTTTTTAAAGGAGGGGTTGCATCTCTTTCCTCTCCTTGGGTTGCTTGTAATTTCCCAATCTTTTGATTAATAAAATTATCCTTCAACTATCAAAAATAATAAAAGAATACTGAGCTTGCATAGCGTTATGTTTTGCATTAGTATGTGTATGCTAGGAAACCAAAGATATCTAATGCTTTCATCTTCAAAGAATCTATGCAGAGAAAATGCTTCCATCTTCAAAGAAGACAAAGATATCTAATGTCTTCTTGAGTAAGAGTTAAACCTAGATTGAGCATGATGTGGATGCGTATTGGGAGCAGCAGCAGCAATGATCCGGTGTTCTCATCCTATCCAATTCGGCAGCAACARTCTTRTCCATTCAGCAGATTAGATTAGACTATCTTGTTATTCTTATCTTATTAAGTTAGTAGATTAGATTATCTTATCTTATTAGATTAGGATTAAGAGAGACTTATCT